CTAGCCTGTACCTACTTTTGGAAAGTAGAAGAGAAAGGCCTGCCTCCCCAAACCTCCCTATAGTTGACCTGACCCTGGCCATGCACTACCACCCCCAGGTAAAGGTATGTAAACATGCTGTCCATGACCTTTAGCTTGCTTCCACAGTGAGGAGCTGGATGAGTTACACTACCAGGACACGGACTCAGACCTCCTGGAGCCGAGAGACAACAAATGCAAGGTCAAATGGACCCATGAGGAGGTGAGCCACAGCTACTCCATGGAGCTGGGGAGAGGGTTAATGGCAGCTGGTGGCGTCTAATGACCCCGTCTGTGGACAGTGAGGAAGTTGATGGACCTTCTGCTTCTCCCCTTTGCCTCCTCAGAGCATTCCAAAATCTGTGGATTGGGGCGTGGTCCTCAGGCCTCAGGACCTCCGTCTCTCCTAAGTGCTTCTTGCCCTTTATCTTGGTCTGATAAATCTGCGGTTGCATCCTCATTCCAGAGAGTAGGTAGTTTATAAAGACAGCTTTAATTACCTCTCCATTCTGCTGTGCAGCTAAGGAAGTCCTTTTTCCTCGTGGGGACTCTGTTTCCAGGCAGGGTAGGGTTATGGAAGAGACAGTGCCATACTGTCTTTTATGACAGACTTAAGATACCAACCGATTGATCCATGTATTGCTAATCCATTCTGACAGCAGAGATTGGATGACTTCACCACCTCCAGTCCTCCCAAGACTTGCCTCGTCATACTGCATGGTGGGGACATTTGACCCTGAGAACCTTGGGCTGCTAGGAAGCTAAATCTCTAGTCTTGTAAAAAATGTTTGTCATTTAAAATTTTAAAACAAAATAATTTTATTATTTTGTGTGTGGGGGCATTTTGCCTGCACGTATGTAGGTGCAGAGGCCAGAAGAGGGTGCCAGGTCCACTGGAACCAGAGTGACAGACAGTTGTGAGCAGCCATGTGGGTGCTGAGAATTGAACCCAGGTCCATGAAAGAGCAGCCAGTACTCTTAACCGCTGAGCCATCTCTCTAACCCCTTTTAATTAATCTTATGTATTGTTCTTGTGTGAGAGAGGGCTGATGTGTGCTACACGTTTTCTTTTCCTTTGTTCTATTGCGTGTGTGCGTGCGTGTGTGCGTGTGTGTGTGTGTGTGTGTGTGTGTGTGTACAACATTTGGAGGTCGGATCTCTCCCATCTGCGTCCTAGGGAACGAAGTCGGATCTTCAGACTTAGCAAGTGCCTTTCCCCACTGAGCAGCAGTCTCTCTGGCGCTTTTTCGTTGTCTTTTGAGAGAGGGTTTTTCACGAATGCCGGGCAGGCCTCCCAGCTTGTTGAACAGCTGAGGATGAGCTTGAATTTCTTACTTTTCCTGATGTAGGTGCCGGAGATAGAGCGCAGTGCACACTGGCAAAGCACAGCAGCAGCTCAGCTGCCTTCCCAGCCCTGAGTGGGAGAGTGAATGGTTTTTTGTTTGTGGGATTTTGTTGTTTTTGATTTGATTTGAGGTGGGTTTCTTGTATCCCAGGCTGCTCTGGAATGCTAGCTACCTGTATACTTTATGATGGCCTTGAACTCCTCCCGATATTCTTTGCTTTTGTCTCAAGTACAGAGGTTAAACTAGATGTCCCCCGCCCCCCACCCCCATCTGGCTTCTGTTTTCTGAAAATTTCCCACACCGATACTTTGTAACAAGCACACTGGACCTTGATCATCCGCTGCCCAAGTGCATAAGTGCCTCTTGGTGATTGAACCCCTGAATCACTGACTCAATCCTGGGGGCCCTTACTGTCAGCCTCTCCAGCAGGACCCCTCTTCCCTCCCCCCTCCTCAGTCAAGCTCTCTCATTTTTTTTTTAAAACCTGTCTGCCCACCTGCCTGAAGAGTCAGTCACCACAGCTCCCAGCATCTCCTCCACCACAGAGTGGTGATAAGTGTGCCTGCCTGAGGCATTGATTACCCTCTCCTCCTCCCTGTCAGGCACATCTGCCGCTGCCTGCCACTGTGACTGATAATTGACACATAGTAGGCACTCAGTTCCTGAGTGAATGTGTGAATATGGCTGTATCCTGGCATCTATAAAAAAAACTTTACACACACACACACACACACACACACACACACACACACACACGAGACCTAAATCCTATGTCTTTCTTACGCTGGCAGGATGAGCAGCTGAGGGCCCTGGTGAGGCAGTTCGGACAGCAGGACTGGAAGTTCCTGGCCAGCCACTTTCCTGTGAGTACCGGCCCTCCCCCAGGCAAGGGCTCCGGTGGCCTGCTGTGAGTGGTTTAGAAAGCCGAAGTGAAGTGAAGCCTGGGAGGCTGAGCGGCAGTGGTGGTGCATACACCTTTAATCCCGGCATGCTGCATGTGGTGGGTGAGGGGCAAAGGGCAGAGGCAGGCGGATCTCTGAGTTCAAGAGGCCAGCCTGGTCTACAAGGCAAGTTCCAGGACAGCCAGGGCTACACACAGAAACCCTGTCTAAAAAAACAAACAAAAAAAGCTCGGTGGTGGTGGCGCATGCCTTTAATCAATCCCAGCACTCGGGAGGCAGAGCCAGGTGGATCTCTGTGAGTTTGAGGCCAGCCTGGTCTACAGAGCGAGATCCAGGACAGGCACCAAAACTACACAGAGAAACCCTGTCTCGGAAAACAAAAAAAAAAAAAAAAAAAAACCACCCAAAAACACAAACCAGAAGGCACCCAGTGAGAAGATTCCACACAGCTGCTTTAGCGTGCCCTCTGTCCTAGGCCCAAAGGCTGTTTGTGTTTTTTCCAGCAAGTCAGGAGCAGCTGGACACTTAGCTCTGGGCCATGAGTTGAAACTGAGGGAGGCATATTTGAGGAGACTTCAAGCTGAGGCTCCTGCCCAGGTGGCTGTGCCCTCCACCAACATTCCGAGTCCTCTGGGGTGAGAGCCTGCTTTTACACACCCTCCCAGGACTGCAGCCATCTAGACAGGCTGCCGCTTAACTGATGGGGTTCCATAGGCATCTCAGGCCGGGTCATCATACTTCTCTCTGCCTCCACCCTTTCTTCCTTGTAACCTGAACTCTTTAAAGAATAAAAATGGTGTCCAAGAAGAAAACAGGAATCACTAAGTCCCAAGAAGCTTTTATAGACTTTGAGATAGTATACCCTACATACATACTAGGTACAGAGGGTGGGAGGCTCCTTTCTACAGGGCCTGGGTTTATCCTTTGAAGCAAAAATAATACACCCATGTTCTGGTAGGTAAGCCTCTGGCATGTGGTGGGTGAATGGCACAGGACACAGCTACCTGACACAGGCTTGCACATTGGTCCCTGAGCTCAGGGCTCCACCAGAGTTCAGTTGTATGGTCCCAGAGTTATTTCTCTTCCTGTCCCAGAACCGCACAGACCAGCAATGCCAGTACCGGTGGCTGAGGGTTTTGAATCCAGACCTCGTTAAGGGACCATGGACCAAAGAGGAAGATCAGAAGGTAAGTGCTGGTTAAAGGGCCGCGTACACTATGGGCTTCCACCACCACCAGGCACCGGGAGGTGTCAGAACACTCCTGTAGCACTCCACTTAGTCCTGAGAATCTTTGGTGTGTGTGTGTGTGTGTGTGTGTGTGAGGTGTGAGAGAGAGAGAGAGAGAGAGAGAGAGAGAGAGAGAGAGAGAGAGAGAGAGAGACCAGCTTTATAGCCCTGGTTAGTCTCATGTTGGTTGTGTAGCCTAAGCTGGCCTTGATTCAGACCTCAGCCATCCTTCTGAGTGCTGGACATGTAGTGGCCACGTCACCCCACGAGTTACCCAGCTTTTAGCTGGTGACCTTACCTGTCACATATAACATGGAAAGGTAATGAGATGTCTGGTGCACACAAGGGGCTGGCTCAGCCAGTGGCAGCTGCCACTGATGCGGTGATAATTTGGTAGATGCTGTGATAATGGTTATACCACACAACCACAAAACTCAGAGGCTTTGCTTTTTTGGTGCTTCAGATGAAACCTATTGCAATGCTGGGCAAGCTCTCCACCGCTGAACTTACCCCCCCTCTAAACCCTTCTTTGGGATTTTTTTTTTTTTTTTTCTGTATTTGAGACAGGATCTCAGGTAGCCTGGGCTGACCTCAAACTTGCTATGTAGCCAAGGCTGGCCTTGAACTCCTAATCCTCCTGTCTCTATCTCCCATGTGTTAGGATTACAGGTGTTTGCCACATTTGGCATTTTAATGCTTTATTTCTGTAGCATCTGTAGTCCTGTGAGGTGGGTTATGTCCATGTTAAAGCTGGGTAAAACCAAGGCACAGAAAGAATTTGACATTCTCCAAACTATGATCACCCGGGCTGCTTTTCTGGAGCTCCTTTATAGAGCTTTGGTTCATCTCCCTGGTGTTAGCCCATAAGATACCATTCCACCTGGGGAGACACAGCACCCAAGAAAAGCGGGGGATAAAAAAGTACTGTCTTGAGCCGGGCGGTGGTGGCGCACGCCTTTAATCCCAGCACTCGGGAGGCAGAGGCAGGCGGATCTCTGTGAGTTCGAGGCCAGCCTGGGCTACCAAGTGAGTCCCAGGAAAGGCGCAAAGCTACACAGAGAAACCCTGTCTCGAAAAATCAAAAAAAAAAAAAAAAAAGTACTGTCTTGTAGATGCATATGCCCATCCAAATGGGATATGATTACTAAAAACATTTAAATCACGGCAAACTGGGTGTGGTGGCACATGTCTCTAATCGCAGTCCTGGGAAGGTGGGAGCTGAAGGATCAGGTGTTCAAAGCCAACTTGGTCTACATAGTGAGACCCTGTCTCAATTTTTTTTTTAACTACACAGAAATGAAATAAAATATTACTACACAAAAATCCCCTTTTCTATGAGTATCTACTCTTCCCTGGTTGTGGCTATGTGCACAAGAGACTATGTGTGTATCAAGAATTGAGGAGGGAGCTGGGCAGGTAGTGGTCCACACCTTTAATCCCAGCACTCAGGAGGCAGAGGCATGCGAATCTCTTGAGTTCGAGGCCAATCTGATACATAGATTGAGTTCTAGGACAACCAGAGCTACACAGAGGAACCTGTCTCAGAAAAACAACAACAACAACACAGAACTGAGGAGGGCCTAGCTTGAGTTGCTGTGACTGTTAGGGTTTGTGTCCTGAACAAAAGAGTCTTTCTCCGAGGGGTTGAAGGCTGAAGTCTAGTTCTTGGTGCCGTGACTTGGGCTCTACCCTTATGATTCCCACAGAAGTATCAAGAAGACTTGACCTAACTCTAGTGTGATTGGGGCTGACCTTATAGGCTTGTACTTCTCTAAAGTCCTGCAAAATGAGGCCCATCTGGATATGGCGATGCTTAAGTGGAGGTGATCGAGGGGCTGGTTCTTCACTGATGCTTTCTTCAAGGTCATTGAGCTGGTCAAGAAGTATGGCACAAAACAGTGGACTCTGATTGCCAAGCACCTGAAGGGCCGGCTGGGGAAGCAGTGCCGTGAGCGCTGGCACAATCACCTCAACCCTGAGGTGAAGAAGTCCTGCTGGACCGAGGAGGAAGACCGCATCATCTGTGAGGCCCATAAAGTGCTGGGCAACCGCTGGGCTGAGATCGCCAAGATGCTGCCCGGGAGGTAGGTAGGGTGCAGGCAGGGTACCGTGCGTGGTGAGTGAGGCCCATGCTTGGGATGGAGTGTCCCAGAGTACCATGAGCAGTCCCATGTTTTTTAACATTCAAATAGCCTTGCCTTCAGTCTCCAGGTCGCCCAGAGACATGCATCAGAAGGGACAGAAGTAGATCTAAAAAGACTGGAAAGTCAGGTTGTGTCCTGTTAGAGGGAATAAGACGGAAACACCAGTTTCTGTCCCCATTTCCCAGTTCCTACTAAATCAGACTCATCTTTTTTTGTTTAGAGACAGGGACTTGATGTGTATCCCATGCTGGTGTTGAACCCAGGCTGACTTGAAACTTGTTGAACCCAGGCTGACTTGAAACCTTGGCCTCATGACTGCTGAGGATGTGGGTGTGCACCACCACCACGCCTAGCCAGTATCCATATATATGTTGTTCGAGTTGCAATAAAAAACCCAGAACCAGATTCAGGGTAAAAGCTGAAAGATCAGAGAAGCAGAGCAAGCCACAGCCACCACCTCTTACCTCACCAACTCCTCAACCTGAAAGAGCTCCTCCAGCCAGGAGCTTCTAGCTGAAAGGGACGCTTCTGTTGAAAAGCCTTAGTTCCTGTCTCCTCATGCCTTATATACCTTTCTCCACCCACCATATCACTTCCTTCTTAGTGCTGGGATTAAAGGCGTGTGACTCCTGAGTGCTAGGATTAAAGGTGTGTGCCACCACTGCCTGGCTTCTATGTCTAATCTAGTGGCTTGTTCTGTTTTGTAATCTCCAGGCAAATTTTATTAGGGTACACAATATATCACCACATCCATATTTATGAATGATTCGTTGTTGTTTTTAAGAATATTATACTTGTGGGTTCTTTTTTGTTTTTATGTGTATGAGTGTTTTGCCCGCTTGTTTGTCTGCACCATGTGCATGCCTAGTGCCTGAGGAGGCCAGAAGGCATTGGTTGCCCTAGGACTAGAGTTAGAGTTGTGAGCTACCCTGTGTATGTTGGGAATCAAATCAAGGTCCTCTGGAAGAGTAGTTAGTTGGTGCTGTGAGCTGCTGGGACTCTGGCCCTCTCTCCCTCCTGATGCCCCATCCATTTATCCTATTGCTCTGCTTTCTTTCTGTTGCTGTGATAAAACACTGACCCAAAGCAAGGTGGGCGGGGAGGGCAGTGGTGGTGGCATTTATTTGTCTTTTACTTCCAGGTCACAGTTGAGGGAAGTAAAGCAAGAACTTGAAGCCCAGACCAGGGAGGAACGTTGCCTACTGGCTTGTTTTAGCTCACTTGCAGGCACTTGTCCCCACCCCTCTTCCTGAGACAGGGTCCTTACATAGCTATCCCGGAACTCTCTGTAGACCAGGCTGGCCTTAATCTCACAGAGATCCCCCGGCCTCTGCCTCCCAGATGCTGGGATTAAAGGCCTGTGCCACCACTGCCCTGCAGACTGCCAAGTTGTTAATTAAAAATAACGAGGTGCAGACAACTTGATGTGGTGGTGCACACCTTTAATACCAGTTTGGAGACAGACAGGTGGATCTCTTAGCCCAAGGCCAGCCTAGTCTAAAAAGTGAGTTCCAGGACAGCCAGGGCTGTAAAGAGAGACCCTGTCTCAGGCAAAAAAAACAAAAAAAACAAAAACAAACAAACAAAAAAAGCTAACTAGGATACTTATTATATCCCAGGACCCCAATGTTTAGTTAGGACAACAGAGCTAATGTTACTACCTGGAACATAGCGCTCAAGTACTAGTACTATCCATGAGTGTATCTCCTTATCTGGCTACCGTTCTTCCTAAGTGGTCCCCTTCACAGGTGTTTTTGTTTGTCTGTACTTTTAATCTCAAAGACAATTTTGTTAGCATTTAGAAGAAACAGGTACAGGTAGGTGGAAGTCCCATCAGCCACCAGGAGATGGAGAGAAAGTCATGCCTCTTGTTTGTTTGTTTTTGGTTTCTTTTGTTTGTCGTTTGTTTGTTTTTGAGACGGTCTCTCTGTGTAATGGCTCTGGCTGTCTTGGAACTCATTTTGTAGACCAGGCTGGCTTCCAACTCAGAGATCTGTCTGCCGATGTCTCCTGAGTGCTGAGACTAAAGGTGTGTGTCACCCTGCCAGCCGTAAGTCATGCCTTATTAAGAAAGGTAAAAACAGCCGGGCGATGGTGATGCCTTTAATTCCAGCACTCTGGGAGGCAGAAGCAGGCAGATCTCTGAGTTCCAGGCCAGCCTGGTCTACAGAGTGAGTTCCAGTACAGCCAGGGGTACACAGAAAAGCCTTGTCTGGGAAAACAAAAAGAAAAACAAAACAAAACCAACCAACCAAACAAATGTAAACAAATAGAAAAAAACAAAAGAAAGGTCGAAGCAGGGCTGGGGCGATGGAGTATTTGCTGCTCTTGTGGAGGACCTGATTTCAGTTCCAGCATTCACGTGGTGGCTAACCACCCTCTGGAACTCATTTCCAGAGGATATAACGCCCTCTTCTGGCCTCTGCATGTGTATAGTCCACAGACTGCAGGTAGGAACACCCATTCCTTTGTGTTCATGACTGCTACCCTGTTGTTAGAGTGGATGTCTTTTATCCCTCATCCTGTTAGATTTCTCATGTGTTGTTTACTTTCTTGTTTTAGTGGAACACATCCTTCATTAGCATCCTGAGCTCAGTCCTTGATTTTGTCTCACATTTAATAGATGATTTAAGTAGATGTAGAGTTTGAAAATAATTTTTGTTCAGAATATTGAGAACATCCCGTGATTTCTTAATCTTTCTCCTGTTTTCTCTTTGATTTCACTTCCTGAGAAGTTTCTTGGTTTTTAACCTTCCAGTCCTTTGGAAATTATTTTAAGAAGTTTTGTTTTCTAAATTCTTACTCCTTTTCTGGACCAGGTTCTTAATATATGCTTGCAACCATTTATTTCACTCTTGATACTGTGTTTAAAAGATCAAAAGACAAAAGTACTCCTTTCCTGCTTTGTGTGTTTGCCTGATGCAGTGGTTCTCAACCTCTGGGTTGAGATCCCCTTTTATGGTCAAACATCCCTTTCACAGGGATCACCTGAGACCATTGGAAAACACACAGATACTTTATGATTCATAGCAGTAGCTAAACCACAGTTAGGAAGTAGCAACAAAAATAATTTCATGGTTGGAGTTCACCACAACATGAACCGTACTAAAGGGTCGCAGTGCTAGGGAGGTTGAGAACCACTGGCCTAGTATTTCTTGCTCTTTGTTTCGCCCAACCATTTTGATTTAATACAGGAGGTTTGCTTTGAAGGATTGCCGATCTGTGGTTGGCCCTTCGCACTTAGGAAGCAGTCAGTGAACATGGTTAGGAAACGCACTGCGCACTGCTGGTGCTTATCAGCTGATGGTCTTTACTGCCCAGTTTTGTTGTCCGCTGGCCCTCTGGGAGGACACTCCCAAGAACGGATGCTTTTCTCTGGAGTTACTTATTTCCCCAGAGGTAGATGATTCCTGTAAGGAGCTATTGCCTGGGGTGCCGTGGCAGGTACTAGGGCATTGGGAATCTCACCTCCAGGGTGCAGATTTCCATGGAGCCCCAGTGTCTGACGTTTGCTGTGTCTGTCCATTGTGGCCACTGTTGTTTGGTTAGGTCTGCAGTCAAATGCTCTAGCGCTGAGCTATACCCCCAGCACATAAGCTGGGTTATTTTTAAAGAGGAAACATCTTTCTTCCTGCCTGGAGGTCAGGGTCAGGAGCTGGAGGTCAGACAACCACCCTGCTTAACCTGTGCTTGTCTTGTCTGAGCTCAATCTGGTTGCTCCAATCCTGGGGCTCCTGGAGTTCTGGTAGGAGCCGTGGGAGGAGCCTTGGGGTGAGTTGATTCTAACTAGACTCTTCTGTCAGGTCAGTTTGGTTTGGACTCCAGTCTCTAGCTGTTGCTCCCCTGACGTCTTTCCATTTCTGCGAACTCCTAAATCGGATTTGCTGCCCCTTGCTTCCCTGTTTTCCTGTCCTTACTTCGCTTTTGTTTTCTTGTGTTTTGTTTTGAGTCCATCCTTTGTCATGGCAGTGGGACCCTGGGAGGAAGAACAAAGAGAGGAGGCCAGGTGATAAAGTGTCTCTGGAGTCTGAACCGCCTAGTTTCATAACTTTAGTCCCCGTGTGTTATCTTTGGGGGCCTGCCTTGTTTCTTGGCTGGGGACTCAGAGCCCCTTCCCTGTGTGGCATGGTTGGCCTTGCACATGCCAGTCGCCTCAGCCTCCATCTGCAGTCACCTTGGTTGCTTGGTCCTGAGCCCCTCTTTTCCTTTCCCACGGCAGCTGGGCTCTGACAGCCCCCCCACCCCACCCCCCACCTCCCCACCTCCCCACCTCCCAACCTCCCAACCTCCCAACCTCCCAACCTCCCAACCTCCCAACCTCCTACCTCGCGCGCGCACATGCGCGCGTGCGCGCACAAACACACACACACATACATACTCACACCTCACACACACACACACACACACACACACACACACTCACACACACTGCTCTGACAGTCCACACACACACACACACTCACACTGCTCTGACAACCCCCCCCCCCCACACACACACACTGCTCTGACAGCCTGGCTTGCATTGCTGCCTTGCCCTGTTGTGAGGCCCACCCGCTTGCTGTCAGCTTCACGGCTCTTTCTTCAGAGAAGCTTTCCGGGTCAGTCCAGCTTGCACTCAGTCCAGCTTGCACTGCGTATTCCATGGAGATCTGCTAAGCCATGGAGGGCTACATTGTGAGGCTTCATTGTAGAGCTGAACGGTGTTCACCGTGCATTCCACCAAACCTTCACTCACAGATGTGGGTGGGGATAAGCTGCAGCAGGACGGGAGAAGAAGCCTTCAAGCTGCTGTGTGTCAGAGGCCCCTGGGTTTCCCCATAGGACGGACAATGCTGTGAAGAATCACTGGAACTCTACCATCAAGAGGAAAGTAGACACAGGAGGCTTCCCAAGCGAGTCCAGAGACTGCAAGCCTGTCTACCTGCTTTTGGAGCTTGAGGACAAGGACCGCCACCAGAGTGCCCAGCCCGTGGAAGGCCAGGTGAGTGGTCACCTGCGGCTCAGTCTCTGGGCTCCATTCCAGGGTGGTTGGTTTGCTGTTTTCCCTGGTTATCTGACTCTGTCTCCTCAGTACCTTCCCCTGAGCCACTCACTCATTTCTGCCCTGGGGTCCAAGTGTGACTGTCATGTTTCTAGGGCTTTTCTTGTGACAAGCTAGCCCTAGTTGGCCTGCAGGACAGGAAAGCAGTCGGATAACATTTTGAGAAGTGGGTTGGGGAGTAGTTCTTTCAGCAACTTTTCTCTTAAAGGTCTTTCCAGTCTACAAACTGAAAGTGTGCTTGCTATGTGCTGATGGTGGTACATGCATATCTTTAATTCCAGCACTCAGGAGGCAGAGGCAGGTGGATCTGATCAAGGCCAGCCTGGGCTACAGAGTGAGTTCCAGGACAGCCAGGGCTGTTACACAGAGAAACCTGTCCTCCCAAAAAACCAAACCAAACCATTTGTGTGTGTGTGTGTGTGTGTGTGTGTGTGTGTGTGTGTGTGTGTGTGTGTCCGTGTCCGTGTCCGTGTCCGTGTGTGTCCTAGAGCCCATGTGGAGATCAGAGGACAACTTATTCATGGTGTCTTTTTTATTTTCTTCCTCTCTTTCTTTTCTTGATTATTGTTCTCTTCCTCTGCTGAAGTCACCTTTTGATGAGCATTTACATGAGACACATATCTTCACACTTCACCCATTTGGAAATACCACATACTTCTTCCCCAGATGTCTTTCTTACCAGTTTTCCAATCAGCTCTTTCCAAGTCTCTAGCCATCCAGCCAATCCATTGCATGGATGAGTCAATTAAGTCGCGTATCTTGTCATTTCTCCCTCTAAACAAAATGTATAACCATGTGTACTGCTTGAAGTTCTGTGAAGAATTCCTTTCGCCAGTGTCTTCAGGGTTATCCCAGAAAGGGCTTGTAATGCTGCAGCTGTCTACTTCTGGGTGGTGTCTGCATAATGTGCAGGCCCATCAGTAAACCAGACTAGTTTTCTCTTTTTCAGTCAACCAATCATATAGCCCCATGAGGCTATAGGTTCATGCTTAGCAGTAAACAGTATTGGAATGGGAGTAGAAACCATAGGCATTTGGGCAACTTCTGCATGTAAACTTGCTTGTACCTTCAGGACCTGCATGGGCCTGAATATATATGAACTTTGATTTGACAATAAATTGCTGCTGTGAGCCTCCTACTTTATGGCGTGGGGAGTCAGATAACACCCAGCTGTGATGAGCAGCACAGGTCACATGGTAACTTGGTGGCCCATTGTTAAATGTTCAGTTTCCACCAAGGCCCAACAGCAGGCCAAGAGCTATAATTGTCTGCAGATGGTGGAGCCTTACTCCCAAACCCCAAAGGCCTTTTCTGTGATTCACCTGTAGGGGCTGCAAACAGCATCCCTGTCTGCCATCGACACCTCAAGTACCATCGGGTCTGCTGGATCCTGTGGTCCAAGTGGGAGAGCAGCCTGCACAGCAGCCTGGACCTGTTGTAGAGCCTGCTCCTGTTCCAGGCTCCAGTCAAAGCTAGCAGCTTTCTGAGTAATACACCCAAGTGGGGAATGTGCTGTTCCTAGACTCCAAAGAGGCCCCACTAGGCTTGTTTCTTTGGTGGTGGGAGGGGCCAGGTGCAATAACTTACTCTTCATAAGGTGGTACTGATTTCTGTATGCCCCTAGATGTCTAAGAATTTCACTGAGTTAGAAGGCTCTTGAATTTTGGTTGGATTTATTTTCCATTTGATGTGTATGTGTTACCAAGTCCAAAGTGGTTGCTTCCTCCTGCTCACTTGGTCCAATCAGCATCACATCATCATTATAGTGCACCTGTGATATTTTTGTGGAAGAGACAGATGATCAAGATCCCTTTTGAGTTACGACATGGGGCTGGGGAGTTAATACATTGTTGAGGTAAAACTGTAAAGGTGTACTGCTGGCCTTGCCAACTGAAAGCAAATCAGCGGTCCTTATGGACAGGTGCAGAGAAGCCATTTGGGCCATCAGGAGCTGCATACCATGTACCCCAGGGAGATGTGTTAATCTGCTTGAGTGAGGACACCACATTGCAATTGGAGTCACTACCTGATTGAGTTTTCCATAGTCAGCTATCATTCTCCATGATCCATCTGTCTTCTGCACTGGCCAGACAGAGTTAAAGGGAGATAGGGTGGGAACGTGCTTCCCCCTCACCCCCACCCCATCTTTCAAAGTTCTTCATGGTGGCACTGATTTCTGCAGTTCCTCCAGGGATACGAGGCTGTTTTGATTCACTGTGTTCCCTGCAAAGGCAACTCTAAAAGGTTTCCATTTAGCCTTTCTAACCAGCATAGCCCTCGCTTCACAGGTCAGGAACCCAGTGTGAGAATTCCGCCACCTTGTAAGTAACTTCTGAGTATCCCAGCTTTACTTTCTAGAACTGGGGAAATAACTACAGGATGAGTTTGGGGACCTTTTGGACCTACTGTGAGTTGGACTTCATCCAAAACTCCACCTGTCCTCCCTAAGCTCCTACTTTACCTGGAGGGCCACAGTGTGTCTTGGAATCTCCTAGCGTCAATTCAGAACTGATTGTTTCCTTTCTTCCATTGTATAGTTACATAGATCCTCTGGAGAAGGACTGGAGATAGGCTAACAGTAAAACTCTTAGGTATTTTATCAAGGTCCTTCCCCAGGGGGACCCAGCAAGTTCCTTCATTTAAGGGGTCTGGGTCTGCAAACTGGCTCAGGTCTGGAAATTGGTTCATGGGCTAAGATTCTCTTTTTGCCACAATCCAATGTAGCTTTTCTTACATTTGTTTGATAATTTTTCTGCTTATGCAAATCAAACAACAAAAATACAGTAGGCTTCTTAACTACTTCATGCCTAGAAACATCATAACTGAGTAGCCAGTACCAAAGGTCCATAAGAGTCATAAAAACCCCTGTGCCTGGGCTGACCATTATGAGTCAGGCTTTGTCTATGCTGCCTGTTATAATAACTACAATCACCTTGCCCTTGGCAATTGAGTGCTATTATGTGGCCCAATTAAACCCATTGCATTTAATTCATCCAACTGAGCAGGAGCATCTCCAACTCTTAGGTGTCTGACACAGGAAAAAGGTGACAACGAAGCCCTTCAAATGTGCTGGTGCCCTTTCACCATTTTGCATCTTACAGCATTAGTGAAGGGCATGTCTTCTGGCCCTTCACATGGAGGAGGATTAGGTTTTATACTTTGTACCTGCTTGAGTATTGCAATTTCTCTGAGCCTAAAAAATCCTTTTGTCAACACGAAGCTAGGGATGTCAGACGATTCCAACTCATTTTCAGTAGGCCATCTTTTGACAAATGCT